TTGTGTTAACAAACATTGAGATCATCATTGAAATAGACTCCTTAGCGCAATCCCCGATTTTGGGTGATTTTTGATGTCCATAACAGGGAATATCTGTTACACTCGGCAGAGACGATCGCATTCGATGTCTGGTCTTTTCATTCTGCTCCTTATCACTTACTTTTGCGAGCGAGTTCACTTCAGGATTATAATGAAACCCGTAAACTCAATCGATTCTGCAACATATATATTCACAATATTTATACCTATGAAACAAACCGCTAATGGTTGGATCCTCTGTCGACAGTTGAATTTTCTGCCATTTATCCGATGGAACATTTGTTACCACACTTAATTTAGAGTATCAAACATGGATCAGCCCATTCGATTGTTCAGAGGCACCGGCACTCTTGATGGTCTTCGATGTGGGACACAAAAAGTACGCACTGCTGATGAGTCCCAAACAGGACAAAACAGGTGTCCAGTGTTCTTTGTTGGTTATCACAAACATTTCCATCGCATTTAAATGCATACAAACAATGGGGAATTAACGATCTCCCAAGGAGTGAAACCCACACCGAAGACCATCAAGAGTGCCTGGTGCCTCTGAACAATCGAATGGGCTAAGCCAAGCTTGATACTCTAAGTTGTTACCACACTGTTTTCTTTTTTTGTTTAATAGTAACCAACTTTTATCATGAATTACTATGTAATCAGATATAACGAATTGTTGTCGCTGATCCACATTCATTCTATGTGGTTCGCCAGCCCATTCAGTCGCGCTTGAGCGGGTCTTGTTCTTTTCTGTGCTCTCTTGAACGGTCAGTGTGGTGTGTTAACGTGGTCCTCGTTTTTAGACTTCGAGTTTCTCACCCCTTACTGATTATCCATACCCATTGCGTCCATATTCTCATGTATCGCTTGGGCCGTCCACCGTTCATTTAGATTCGATTCGGTTGCCGTGGTTTATTTTTCTCCAGCCATTTTTAGCGATACGAGTCAGGTGTATTATTGAGCTAATTAATGTTGAATTCTCAATCTTCTTGTGACCTAGTTCGGGTATCGCGCATATCCGTTCGTTCCACCCTTGTCCCTGGAACTGGTCAACAAAGCCTGTGATCGTTTGTCTGTTGTTGCCGTCCAGATGAACGAAACCTGCCTGATCGTTTTGATTTACACGTTCATTAGTGAGCACGAATTTGTGATACCCAGGCATAAAATATCTCGATGTTTTTTCTTATTGTGTTTAAAGGTCATTCGTTTGCTCACGGTCTATCCGGTATTCAGCTGCGACCTGGCAAACATAGATATATATATTTCGTGTATCCAAATTTGTTAGTTGGACGGTATCTTCCTTTGAGCACAGGTTTTGTTTTCAAACGAGACCCTATTTAAGGTATTCTCATGACACTGCTTACTACTTTGTTCATGTGATTTCACACCAGTTCACCGATCCGTCATAATCGACGTCTTTGTTGCAACATTCCTTTTTATGTGTTCAGGCTGGGGACAAATCACTGGTGAATGTTATTGCGCATGAAATCGCTCACTCGTGGACGGGTAATTTTGTCACAAACTTGAATTGGGAACACTTTTGGCTGAATGAGGGTCATACCATTTACCTGGAACGACTAATCATGGAACAGCTACATGGAACACAAATGCGTCATTTGCTGTTGGCCATCGGCTACGAGGAGTTGATAAAAGAGGTAGGTCTTCGAACGTATCATTCTTCTTTGGCCCATATATGCTTGATTGCTTTGTTTAACCTCCAACCTCATTCACTGCTGTACACCACTGCCCATGACTGTCAAATTCCTACCCATATTCCAGGTTGAGCACTTGGGCGCCACTAACGAATTCACCCGTTTGGTCACAAAGTTGGACGGTGTGGATCCGGATGTCTCATACAATCGGATTCCCTATGAGAAAGGCTCTTTGTTGTTGTACTTTTTGGAGACTAAATTTGGTAAAGGTAAGACACTAGTTCTGTCTATCTGATTTTGTCTTTGGAAGATAAAGGAACACCTCCGTTTTCAAATTTTATAGATGTAGACTCTGCACTATCACTGGTCCGTTCCGCAGATTTTTTTTCAGTTTCGTTCTTTTTCCTGAATTGACAGCCTCCTTGTATAAATAGTCTTGTTCCAACTTCCAATGCGTTATATGGTATGGCTGTTGTCTGTCTCATGTGGATCGCCTTTCTCACCTCAGCCTATCATCTGATGTTCATCTGACGCACTTAAGATCCGATAAATCACTTAGTTGTATAATACTGAGAATTTAATAATTTTCGGTTATTATTCTATCGTAGTTCACGAATATGTCATACACTCTGGAGTATAACAAGCTTACCATTTTGACCACTTTTCGCCAAACTGTTATACTCTCCGAAGAATACATGGTTTTGCATGATTTATGTATTTTCTGCGCCCATATCAATGTGATTATGACGGGTAGCTTTGTTCACTGACATTTTCACGTCCACATATTTGTTCACTACAGAAAAAATGATGCATTGGTTGAAAGCGTACGTGAAACACTTTGGTGGATCCACTCTGGACACTGATACTTGGGTTGATTTTCTATCGAAAACCTTGGGACCTGAAGTGAAAGGTAAGGATGTGAACTGGGACGAGTGGCTACACGCTCCCGGAATGCCATCATGGAAACCCAAGTGAGTGTTCCACTTGCCTTCTGTGTGTGTGCACGTGTAGTTATGCAGAATAGGGAATTACTTTTATTCTCTCTATCGAACTGAATACATTATCAGGTGGCTAACAGATGCAGAAGAAAACAACTCTTTGGCCACACATCACGGGACAAGACAGTTCTCATAAAATAAAGATTTCACGTTGGTTGATGAACAGAAATTCACGACCGGTTTGTCTATACTGAGCGCACGTTGTTCTCAACTTCACGAATAATATATCCCTTTTGAATGCAATTTTCCGCATGATTCAGTTCAATCAAGACGCAGAACATCGCGATACTGTCTAGTGCACTGGTTTTTACATTCAACGGCGTGCTTACTGGTACGTGAACATGAATCCGCAGTTCAGTGAAGTTACTGTTATTGCTGTATGATCATCGGGCTACATTAAACCCGTTACTGGTGGTTTACTAATGAAATGCAACACAAAACTGTCACTGTGGGAGCATCGAATGGCGCGTCAGCAGTTTAGTGGCATGCTCCAAAAAGCCTATCATGAATGAGTTCCCAGCCAAAGCAGTTTATTGTACCTAGGAAAAAGCGAGAGCATAAAACATAAACCTGCTCATAAAATCGCAAAAGTTTACTGTACTACAACGCGCCTGCCCAGATTAGTGTCACTCTCACAGTTCCTGTTTCCCACTCTTGCGAGCAACACACTTTGTTGTGGGAAACCTTTTTCGATAGTGGAACGGATTTTTTTATCCAAAAATGTCGTGGGCATGAACTAAATGGAACTCCAGATAGAATATTATAAAAAAATAAATATATTTTTTTTACTTCCTTTTGTTATTTATTGAATATACAAATGTACAGTCAACTTTCAAGAAGGGGGCTGCGGTCATACAAAGGCTGCCTGGGGAGAATACAGATATAGGGATGATGTGTGACGGTGGAGCAGTTTGATCCCGGGACACCCAGGTCACTAGTTGGTGATCTAACCACTTCGATTTCCTGATGGATTTCATAGTATTCAGAGCAGCGGGTTCAATCATCGCTTGAGCCGGCGAAGTCGCACAGCCGATGAAACCCAAAAAAAACTCAAAGTAGCTGTGTATTTGGTTCAACGCATAGATAGTTGTTTGTTAAAATATACGGAAGAATTTCCTCTTATAACATGCGAGTTGTGTCATAACTTCTCATAGGCCATCAGTAATTCAATTTACGGTTTTATTGTCATCCTTCACTTAACTCAGCATTCGGTTTGCGTTCTTGTTTCATATGTTCGGAAAGTGACTTTTTACCGAAGGGGACACAAATGGCAGGAAAATCTTGAATGTGTCGTTTAGTACTTCGTATGGAAGCGAACTAGTGGTTGTCGTTTTTTTCTCATTGCATTGTTACCCTTTATTAGAATCCTTGATTTTGCAATCTACCATAGAGCTTCGCGTAACACATGCTCATTATTATTATTATATTTCACATTAATCGTGTGACAAATAGATCAAGTTACAACAATTTTTATGGCAAACAAATCAGTGTATGATTTATTCGGGGACGGAGTACTACTGGCCGAAACAAGTCAGTTATCTTGAGGGATTCAAAACCTGAACATACAATCTTGTGCTTAATTTTGTTTATCTCTCGTTCACCATATGTGCCACAATTTCACCCTGTGACAAAATTCTGTTGGCCATGTCAAAGGCACCGTGAGCTGTTTGCGTAGGCTCAATTGGCAATAACATCGCTCTGTTAGACTGCAATGTGGTGTCATGTCACAGCGTTCCTTTGGTGCCACCTGCCATTGTGAGCCCTGCACTAAATGTACCTTTTACCTTCATCATGCATTAAAATGTCTCCCACTCTATACCCTGCCGATAAGGACATGTGAAACACAGATCTCCTCCATCTAGCGAAATTTGCAAGGCTGCGCGATAGAAGACCTTGTTCTTGATGGTTTAGTGGTGTATTGCGCTCCAAATGGAACTCAAGTTGTTAGTCCATCCGATTGTTCACAGGCACAGCAGTGTTGCTGGTCTTGCATGTGGATTTCACTGTCTGGGAGATCGTTAATTCCCACATACTTAAATGCATGGGTAAGGGTTTGAAGTGCCAATCCGAAGGTTTGCGGTTCGAGTCTTCACAGGGACACAAAATGTACGCACTGTTGACGAGTCCCGCACAGGACGAAACAGCTGTCCAGTGCTCTTAGTCGGTCATCACGAATATTTCCATCGAATATAAAAGTTACTTGTATACCTTTAGGACTTTGAGAATAGGACGGTACTGTCCGGACTGTGCGAATGGAGTATATCCGATGACAGGAGGGTTTATATAAATTAAAGACGTGATTTTCGTAATGCTCTATCGAAGAATTCAACCACCGTGAGCTCGCCTACTTGAGTGAGGTTTGGGTAAGTAAATATCCGGTTTCCAATGACCGAATGTTATACAGTTTATGCCCATGCTTACATTAACTACCAGCAGTCGACACCCAATTACGGGAGTATGAGCTGACCGGAAAAGTTGTTGCACGTTTTATTTGCGTCAGTTATTCGTTGCTTACTAACCACACAAGTTTTCCATTGCGTACGACTCCATGAGTTATTTGGATGGTTTTCCTACTAGGTTTCATAGTTGTCCATGTAATCTCTCCTTAACCTGTTGGTTTGTATTTGTCCCTAACCATTTTGCTTTTCAGGTTTGAAGCCGAGGAAGCCATCACCCAGTGTGATGAACTGATTGCCTTGTTGGAATCAGACGAATTGCCTTCGAAGCCTGCAATGACCTCGTCCGTTCTCAAACTGTGGAAGGAATTGTCCCCAATCCAACGTGAATTAGCTTTGCGTCGTCTAAATAAACGATCTCCTCTGAAGCACGAAAACCTGCGCACCATCGATGCCGCACTGGAATTATCAAAACAAAAGAATGCCGAGTTGCGTTTCGAGTAAGTGTTACATTGCTACCCGAGATTATGGACTGGCCAAGCGGTTATTTCAGTTGTCCCCTCCAGTCCCAGATAAATAAGGGAAAACGATGAATAGTAGTTCGGTGGTCAAGTTAATGAAAGATTTGAATTGTTGCCACAGTTTAACGAGAGTTAATCCAAGTCAGTGTAGGTGACATAAAGAGAAGTAAGTGCCAATCGTTGTCAGGTCGTTGAGAGCGATGATCATGCTAACACTGGTGTATACACTAGGGTACATTGTTGTTCGTTTGTTTTGTTTCCGGTCTATGCCATTGCGGAGCAGAGTTGGGCAATCTTGTGCTATCCTGTGCGAAAGTCTTCCTATGGAAGTTAATGCAACGATGGGAATATTTCACAGTGCAAAACACATCAAACTGCTCGTGACAGTGAGAAATCTCAGCGAGTGTTTGAACTTCAGCGTCAGATTAACAGAATCGAAGGCTTCCTTGGGTTTTCCTGGTCAGGGTGTCCGAAAATAACGGAATTGTGCAACGCTTTTGTTTTCTCTGCCTCTTATACTGTTTCTATACTCGCTTTCAACTCACAATTACCTGAGGGTAGTGGTGTGGAATGCCTGTTTATCATCGTGACTAATAGTCAAACGGACTCCCTCTTTATGCAAAGTCTTCAGTTCAGCCAGTCTATCATATACTCAGGAATCACATAATCTAGTTTTGCTCTTGTTAGTGCTGATCAGTATTTCATATCCACCGTACACTATTAGAACTATCGAATCATCGCACGAAAAGTTTGTTGCCACTGTGCCAACCAGGTCACACACATGACTGATCAGAATTACGGGCTCGAGTGTTGTGAATGTCGTCCGCGACAGCAGGAAGGGAGATAGTATACAACATGTTAAATCCTGTATATNATTGAAGCAGAGAATCAACAAAGCGTTTTTGATGAATTCCCCTCCCTATCCCCAAAGTATGGCAGCCTCATGGTTGCAAACAAAACCGTTGCATGAAGTGCAAGTTTAATGGTTGCTTGAAATGAAACTAGTAGACATTTGGTTTTCTCGTATTACTCTGACTACCACCTACTAGTGAATGGTTTGTCCTTACGAATATTCCCTATATTAGCTGCTTTGACACGGCAATCCGAAACTAGGTTAATTCTTTTTTTAATCGATATTTCGAGTTTGACGTTTCTCTACTAAGTGTCCGTGTGGTAGTGCCAAGAGATGCAGGGGATGAGCTTTGGAACATTTAACTAATTCTTAGTCTTTTTCGCGCAGAACGTAACCACAACACCAGAGGCAGCATTCCTTGATGTGCACTTGAGCTTACAGATGTAACACTTGTAGAGTGTTTTATCAAGGAGTATAATCAATGAATCCACCCTTTCGATTTAGCAACCTGTTCCACGGTAGCCTGGTTTCACAGCCATACAAAGCAACAGTTTGTATGGTATTTCGAGTGACCTGGAATTGCGTCTTAAGGTAAATTTCCTTGCGTCACATCACGTTCCTTAGTTGTAAAAGCACTTAAAGTCCTTGTCAGGATTTCTGCAAAATATAATGATCTACAAATTTAAAAGGGAAAGGAAATGATGAACACCAACGGTTGTCACTAATCCGCGATGCTACTTTCCTCTCATTGGGACAGTATAGAAATATAATAAAATTAGAATGATTCTGTAGGGTGGAACCCCTTTGATCTCCATCATTGGCCTATCAACCGAAGGCTCCCTGGATGTGGACATCAGGATCACTGTAATCAATAGTTAGAGACACTAAGTGATATGGTTGAGAGTGTTAACAGTTGCGCTCGGGCATATTTTCAATTTGTTTGCAACCTTGATGAGTTGTCTATTTGCACTCTGACACTAACTTCAATATCCCAATCTTCCCTTTACTTCTTAATCCAAACGGGCAGTAATGAGACAACCACCAAAGCCGGGGCACGAAAGTGCACGGTTAATGGTTGTAAGAACCGAATTGAATCGATTGCCGCTCGAAATTAGGCAAAATAAGCTTCTATAAGCTGTCGTAATTTCTGATCTTGTTCCTCTGTGATTAAAGCGAAGCCATTTTCACTGAGCTATATTCTCAACATGTTTCTGAAGGTAAATCATTTGTGGTAGGAGTTTTTTCTTTTTTCAGTCGATTACAGCTACATGCCGTGTTGCTAAAGGACACAGCGAATCAGACGGCTGTATAGTGTTGAGATAGAGTTTCTGATGTTCCTGTTTGACCCATCATTCTATTTTGGCGTTACTACCGGAGACATTTGATGGGACAAGCATNCAAGCATTTTCCAGATGTTAGATGCGTAGGAGTATGCAGTTTTCCCAAATCGCCAACTGTTCTATTTCCATGCCCGTCGCTATGACAGACCAGTATGTCAGCCATTTGATTGACTGGTTCTCCCGTCCTGGAAATTGTTCCGTTGTATATTTGACCAAAGGAAGTTAAAATAAATAAAAGAAAAACAAAGTAGCGGTTCTGTCATTGCTAGAAAAAAATTGTCTTCACTTGAGGGAGCCCTGGACATAGTGCGCAATGGTGAAGTGCGTTCTAAAACTCAGTATTTCCGCCTCTTGAATGAGGTACTCTAGTGAACCACTAAAGCACCAACCGATGCTGTTTTCAACGGATTCCATCGAGCCTTGACTAAATAGTTGTTTCGTCTTCGGCCCTTAATTCCACACAATACTTTCTGCTGTTTTGGGCACACAATCGAAGCATCGGAGATGCATTTCAGAGCTCACCGTTGCTGATGCTTTGGTAAACAGAGCTTGGATCTAACATAAACTGTATCATTGTCTGAAACCCATTCGTCTTCAGTCGATGCGCCTCAGTGGGATCTGTTGTTCTCGAAAGCTTACCAGAATGTAATCGATCTAGTGGTTGTGCATCTGATTGGGTTGCCAAGCTACTGTACATTTTTGGAATGTAAGAAACGGTACCACTGCTATTACTGTCACTACAATATAATTTTGGTATTTTGACGGTATGCAGTTTTGCTGTTTGTTCGGTGCATGATATATCACTAATTCGATTCTAAAGGTACTTTAGAACATCAAGGTAATATTGTGTGTTAGAACCTACTTTTGAACTTTTTTCTATGATAAAATGCCGTGTTTGTTTTACCTCGATATTCCAATCTCTATCGTCATGCACCCTGTCTATGCTTCACTCCTTCGGATGCGAAACGCAAACCAAGGTGTAGCCAGTACCGGTTAGACAAACCCACTTAAGCCAGTAATGTGGTGATGTATGTCTTTTTTTACACACATGCTCAGACATGTTTATCTAAAATTTACCGGGCAAAACGTGTATGCTTACCGGTTCACAGGACTGCACATGTATATATACAGCCGCCCCCACATAAAGTCTCGTCCGGGAGCGCGCGTCTCATCTGTTTTCATTCAAATTCCATTTCCGGATGCGGCAGTTTTTATCACGAGCCTGTGGAATGCATGTCTCATCAAATGAACAGTGTTGCTCGGGATGGAGTTCCTGAAGTGACGTTCCATCGCACTGGACGATCACAGCCTTCTAGATTGCAGTTTGAGCAGCCCTCGATTTACTTGCACAGACGTGCTCAATACTGCTAAGCTTAGACGGTCAGCGAATTTCTTCGCTGTTCTATTCAACCTGGTCAACAAATTTGGGCAATTACGTTCAGAACCTTGTCCGCAGTGCGCTGATCAGACCGACTGGTTTTTATTGTAATCAACCCTGTTTGTCCCAGTAGTACTACTCATAGAACTGCAGCCTTTTCCTTTGTCCGCATTCAGCCTTCTTCATTTGTGCATTTTATTTTTTACCGTAATTTCTTGATAGTGTAATCTAATCGGTTAGTGTATTTCGTCTGTAACTTTATGCTGTTCCCCCTGAATGCTCTGCGGTCGTCGTATTCATTGTTTGAATATCATTCCTGTTGGCAGTGTAGTACGAATCGTCCACCCGTTTTTTTTTGTTGATATAAATTCCATCCTACTGCCAAAATTTGATAATCACGGCAGGTTGTATATTCGTGTACAAACTTCCGGTGACACAATTGAAAAGCTGTGATAAACGATAAAGGTTTGTTTGCTTATATGTATATGGGAACACAATTGATGTGAAACCAAACATTAATTACACGTTACAGTCAGTATGAACGGGTTCGGTTAATTCATTCCCCCTCCTCTTCTGAACACTCCTGATTTGTGTCCTTTTTCCAGATGGTCTCATGCGTGCATCCGATCACATTACTTACCGGCTTTGGATAGTTGTTTGGAGTTTTTGAACAGTACAGGAAGGATGCGATACACCCGACCACTGTATAGGTAAGTTTATACGGTGGCCTATCACCAACACCCTTGGCTTTCCTGGTCCTGTGCTATCGTGCGATTGTGTTGCAAAAAGTTTCATTATTTTCCTTGTTGGTTTTAAAATCGTTGTCATTCGCTCGTAAAATAGTTCCATTTTCACCACTTTGGTATGTCGGTTTTCATTCATAATGAGGTTACGAACATCGTTTTACTTAACGTGATGTATTCTCGGGGGCCTTATCCTATATGACCCTATTTGGAAAGATCTGAGACATATGTATTGGCTTCCCTCGAATATAATATATCGGTTAAAGACAAATACTGACATCCGTCTTGTTTAGATCTTAACATAACGTTATAAATACTCGAATCTCGAATCGCCTTTCTCTCGTTGCATATTGTGTTTAGTATAACCGTTTCTAGTTTATCCGACCCTATTTTAGTCAGCGTTGCTTGTAGTCTGTTTCGTTTTTCCACAGCTGAAGTATTCAAAATTTCTTCATTCCAAAAATGGCGTTTTTGATGTAAGTTGGAGAGGGAAACGAACGTTTACCACAGACTTTTACAGCTCTCTGGTCACTAGTTTCAACTATGGGCCATAGCAATGTGATTTTCTAACCGGGGAGCATCATCGTACCTCAGGCTCCGACTGGGTAGTCGGGACGGATCGAGCGAGGCTAGTTTTACTGTTATGTTTTTCACCCCCTACTCCAGCCGACAGGCTGGGATTCCTCCCAGATCTGTCTAGGAATCAGTATGTTCCCTGATCACCAAGTGGGAGATGACTATCAGTACTTCATTCCCATCGTCAAACCTCGTCGTTTATTATACAATATTAGAGGCATTCACCTCGGCCTTTGACCGATAGAGCCTGGTGTGCAAAGCCACAGAGTGAGATAGAGTTCGCAACCCCTTGATAACCGATGTTGCAGTTAATAAGATTTGATCGATTCGAGCCGCGGGTCCAGTACTTCCATATCTTTCAGAAGAGTCGGTGACTCAGAACTGTTCGATACACTGTTTGTACTTAGATGCGTGTAAAATGCAATGTAATATATGTTTTACAAACCGCTTTGGATAACAAAGGCAGGTTTTGTAATTCAACGCACTTCCGTGATAAACCACACGAATGTTAAATGTTGATGGGATAACTAACCGTTAGAAAATATGCCATGCCACTATTTACTGATCAGAGCCACCGTCGTCTGCGTCTACTTCGGATGACACGTTCACAGTGTAGTTTTCGAGAACATATCATTATCTTACATTGGAAGTGCTCTGTCTTTTGCATTGTAAAAGTAGCTGTTCAGTGTGTTTCATCTCTTTCTTCTGTTATAGAGAGCTGAATCTTTGGTCTGAGGTGCGCTCACGTGTTCACGAAAATTATAAAAAACATCGTCCGTTCATGCACCGAACAACAGCCACACTGTTGGCCACCGATTTAGAGCTCCGTTGAGCTTTCCCATCTCCGACCCATGCATGTCGCTGGGCCATTACGTATTCAGCCTTTATCAATCAATCGGGTCTTATTGTTTCCGTGTCCATTTTAATCAATAAAACAATTTCCACGTATGTATTGTTCGATTTTTATACTGTATCACTGTGCCGCTGGAAGTTGTTTGGTTTCCTTAGGTGTGGGTTCATAAAAGTGGTTTCTTCTGACAGTTTAGGTAAACTGATCGAATAATGGCCGTTTGTATGAAAATCATATTGTAACATTAGGGTATGCACTCACGCTCGTACATCCCAACAGGCATGAGGTTTCAGTGCAAGTAGAGCCTAATAGACAGATTAATCATGTTACGGTGTGTGATCTTTGCGAAACAGACAAGAATACCGTCGAGGTCAGAATGTCACCTGTTTCGATCGTATGACCTGTGGATTTGGCTTTATAAGTCAATGTTTCAGTCTGCCCGAGGGGGATTTGCGAATCGATCAAAACTATCGTAGGATTTTAGGGCCATATGTTGTCGGTAGTTTTACCCGTGAATCGAGTCACTTCATGGTGCATCTATTTTTTTCCTCAAAAATCATAGTCCGGATGTAAGTAACAATGTGAACTGGAACACACAGGTGTGTGGTCAATGGTGATCCAGATCGCAAGAAATGAAACGCCGACAGAATTCTGAACGTTATTTATGCCCTCCGTTTGTATCATTCTTACTGTTTTTTTTCACAAAACCAGTGGCCGAAAGTCCCACCAATTGTTCCGGCCTAGTCTGTTAATGCGAAGCAGCGCGCGCGGCAACCAAACCATTCGATGAACTGGACAGAGGCGTTGATAACCTTCTCATGCAATACCGTAATGCAATATATTCAACTACGGGACACAGTCCAGCAAAGCTGTTCAAGAGTCGAGTGCTTCGAACAAATCTTCTACACTTGGAGTCTGCGGAAGTTGTGTATCATCGTTGTAACGATTTACGACCCTCCAGATGCATTGTACTAGACCTGTCGTTTTCTCTTATTCGAAACCCACTACTCATAGTTCGTAACAGGGTTCAAACAGCCTCACAATGCTCCAGTAACGACTGAATGGTTATATTGATTCTACTGAATTTCGTAGTTGTTGACAACCTAAAGCTATCAGGTCGTCCAAAGTGACCGCGATTTTCGCTGAATTTTGCTACTGTTTGCAGAAGCGTCTCACTGTGCTGAATTAAAATAATTTGTATGAACTTGCATACGTGAGTTTCAGTTGTAGTTCACAGGTTCAAGATCAATAAAATATTTTCGATCTAACGGACCGCAAACTTCACTTCTCGTATGCTTGTTTTTCCGTGCACCATTTAGTCCAAAAAATCACTTGTTAAGCTGGACTGGCGTTGTTTCACTCCAATGACGCTGCTGCTCACCTTAGGTGGATGAGCACCATTCGTCGAATATGAATATGGGTGTTGGTGGCGCATTGTTTTAGTCCATGTCACCGGCGTGGTTGGGACCCTATGGTCCGAGCCCTGCCACCGCCACCCAAATGTGGTGGTAGGCACCTTTGCGGTTGTCCGGTTCAATGCTACGCCTAACCTAGCAGAGCCATATGTGGTTTGCCATTACAAGTCATTTTGTACAACTATTATACATGCACTATCGTGCACCGGTATTGGTAGCTGTCTTTTGGCTGCCCATTTGAATGAACAATAGCAGAAG